CTTGTCGTCAGCTGTTTCTCTCGCCTTTCCTGTCCCCTCCACTTCCCGGCCCCTCTTTTTACCTTTTATTTTAGGATAGCCTTAGGTTTTCAGAAAAGTTGCAAGGAGAGCATAGAGTCTTGACTTACTTACTTTCTTTCTTTTCCTTCCTTCCTTTTTCCTTTTCTCTTTCCTTCCTTCCTTCCTTCCTGTCCTCTGTCCTTCCTTCCGTCCTTTCTCTCTCTCTGTCTGCCCACACCTCTCTCTCTTGCTGCCTGCACCTGGCTCTTCTTCAGTGTCTGTGCTTTTCAGTCGCGGCTTCCCTCTCTCCGTGTCCACCTCACCGCTCCCCGCCTCCCTAGCCCACATCCAGATGGGGATTCCAGTCCCCAGCGCCTACCCCCAAGCCCTCTGCGTGCGACCCGATCCCGATCGACCGACCCGAGGACCGCCTGCTGTGGTGCCCGCGAAATCACCTCCACTAGGAGGTTCGCTGACAACCCGCAGCCCTTTCCTTCCTCTCCCAGCCCACTCGGATCCTCACCCGAGACCGCAGTGCACAGCGCGCCCGGCGCCCCACATGCTCGCGGTCTCCGGACTGGAAGGTCGCCTGTCCCCTCGGGGGGTCATCTGGCCCACCTTCTCTAATTCCAGGCAGTACATTTCTTATCCCCAAGTCTTCTCTAGCTTTGGGTCCCCATTCTCCGCCTCTCTCTCCCTCGGGAAACTTCCAGGGTCTCCCACCCTCCCCGCGACCCCGTGGTCCTCACCTGGGTCCTGGGCGGGCAGCGGCTGCTCCCGGTACGCTCCGTATTGCCGGTAGGAGGCTCCGTAGGTATATTCCGACTTGGGCGAGTAAGCGCCAGTGCCCGCAAGCCCATTGAGATTGAACTGGTGGTGGTAGGTGTAGGGGTTCATGGTCTGCCCATAGGGCTGGCCCGAGTAGTAGTCGTGCTGGGGAGCGCTGTAGTAGCCCAGGTCGGTGACAGAAGACTCGGGCAGGGTGGGCGAGTCCTTGGAGCCCGCATGGCAGCTGAGCGAGCTGGAGATATCTGTGAGGATGCTGCTGAGCTTGCGATCGAAGGAGCCGCTCATGCTGGCGGGCGCCGAACCTCCCGGGCTGGCCTCCGCCGAGGAGCGT